CCGGAGCTGGGCGGGGGCTCCGGTCCCGGGGCTGGAGGACCGAGAGGAGGCTGGGGTGCAGAGCCCCCTCCAGGGCACCCGGGGCTCCCCCGGGCCGTTACAGCGCGGCCGCTCCTGTGCTTCCCCCAGGAATCACCTCCCCGCCCCTCACATCAGTTACCGACAAACACAATGTTTATCTTTACTTTTTAATCATTAAAGCAGTAAGATGGGAAGCGCTCAGTTTCCCCCATAAGGCAAAGAATGGGTATTGACAGCAGGCAAGTCTTAAAGATTTATGCTCACTATCCCATCAGCTTTTTAGCCCTTGCCTGATTTTATACTTTTAAAAGGGGATGGACTGCTTTTAGTGGTTGGCAAGCTGTCTCCTCTCTCTTTTTGCTCACATATGCATGAGCTTTCAGATAAGCAGCTGAAAAAACTGTTACAGTTTCCATGGGTAGACAGTGGAATATTTTTAAGTTCGACAAATAAAAAGGCACAGAGTGAGCATACAGAATTTTATTGTATTACATTCTTCATAAATAATGTACAAGTTGGTTCACTTCTGAGCTTTACCTGATTTCATAAGGACAATATATTACACTGAAAAAAACAAACTTGGTAGAAAAAAATATACAGTTTTTGTTTATACATAAGTCATTTATCATTAATGACAGCATGGACAGGGAAAATAGGAGACTAACGGGACGTGAGAGACAGCACAGCATGGTCACGACAGAGATGTCATTTGCTGAAAGCTAAATAACCTGTGACAGCCCAGTGGTCCCCTTCTGCACCTCACAGTCTCTAAATTGATAATATCAAATGTGTCACAATCCCCTTCTGCATCAGAATTACAAGAATTTAGGTTTTTTTGAATTTAGTAATTGGCAAATGCGTGGCAACGTGTACTTTTAAACCGTTCTCAGTGGACAGGTACTACTTGAGCTGTGTAGATTTAACTCACATAGATGTGACTTGGGCATACGCTGCCCCTGCCTCTTCTACTTCCTCGCTCAAAATCCCAACGCCGAACACCCATGTGCTTCTATTTTCACAGTGATTCAAAAAGCAACAGTTAACAAACATCTAAAACACCTTTCAGTAATACAGCAGTTAATAACTTAATTGGCAAGACCTCTTGTGTGAACGAGGCTTAGGAATTCAATAGGGGTTTTTTTTGACTGCATGTTATGATACTGTTAAATACTTTGGTATTGTTAAAATGCATTTATTGCATAGGAGCCACTCATGCACGAATGTTCGCAAATGCTTAAGAGTTTGTGTGTTTAAATATTTATTGTCACTAGCTTGGACTTTGTAACACCAGCTGCTTAACTTCTGAGCTGACATATTCCACTTATATACAACATAACACTGGTTTGTAAGCAGCACTGTCCTCTGAGTTCACCCCGTTTTGGAAAGGATTGTCCTGAATTGCTCTGTAGCAACAGAAAATACAGTACAGAAAGACTCTATCTCACATAATTACAAAAGGCACTTTTGAGAATTAATTCACAGAAATATTCTACAGAAAGTGGAATTTGGTCTAAAAAATATTTACCAAACGTGATTCTCCTCCTCTGTCCTTCTCCCCCTGTTCTCTTCTATGATCAGTTTAATTTTTTAAAGCTAAATGAAAGAAATGTAGGGCAAGATAGAACAAGATGAGAGCGGGAGAAATCAAGTTCCCTTTTCTGTGTTTCTCCTCAGTATTCCGCTGTTAACCTCTTATTAGGGCTCCCTTTTTGGCATCATATTTTAGAAATGTCTGTGTGTTTGGTTAAAAACTAAAGCTAAAAACTAAAAACATGAGGTGAGTAGTCTGCTCTTTATAATGAGTTATTTCAACTTAATTCCACAGTAGTTTAAGCAAATACTCATTCTCTCTGTTCAGTTTTCAGACGTTGGTCCCATGTGGGTATTAGAAGTAAACCTAGGTCAAGAAGTGAAATGCTCTTTAAGAGTATTAACATTTGTTAACGTTTGAGATTACTCTGAAAAACAGTCATTACAGGTATTTAGAATAACCCAGTTGTGATACATTGTACAGAGATTTGTCACTCCAAGGTAATTTTCCATTATGCTTTTGATAAATCTTCAGGGTTTTTTTTTTTTTTTGAAAAAAAGATTTGTTTGGTGTAAATATATCCCAGTATACTCACTGTGACCTTTCGATGACAATAAAAATAGCAGAGATTCCTTACGATTACTCTTTCCACCTGCATTTTTATGATCCATTCTCGCATGGATCTTAAATCATTGCAAAAAAAAAGAAAGAAAACCCTGAAACTGAAACTATTCAGTTATTCTTTTAATAGGCCTTAGATGGTGTCCAGAGGGGGAGCAGGGAAGGGAGACGGAGGTCGTACCCAGATGTACAGTTGGGTTCCTTGAGTCTCTAATTAGCAGGTGCCCTTTAGACGTTAATAGCATCCCGAGAGCCCCGTGGAACCGGGACCAAGCGCCCCACTTGCCGTGGGTTCCTCAGCAGTCCCAGAACAGAGTGTTTTACCCTCTTCCTCTGCATACGCTCCTTGTGCAGCATATAGAGAGGGCCAGTTTCAAGTACTGCCCGTGCAGACCCTTTCTCCAGTTTTATTTACAGCTAACGTGTCTTATTACTGCCCTGAGAGGGGCAAGGAGTTCGCAGAGGGGGCGACAGCATCTCTGGGCAGACTGCAGCAATGGTTTCTACAAGCATACGAGCTCTCTTCCAGCTGCTTCTCTCTCAGGCCTGTCTCAAATCTCAAGGATGTTCCCAGAAAACTCACATTCTGTAGCCTCATAAATTGCTCCCATGGGAAATATTACCCATCACAAAGCAGGTTGTTCTTTGACCATCCTGCTGCACCATTAGTGCATGTTCATCTAGGAGCATTGTCGGGTAATACTCAACCAAATACAATTTGGTTTATCTTCCTTTTCCTGATGCGTGACTTTTTTCATCCATGGACACTGATATCCATGTTCATAACAGTGCAGGAAACTAGTTTAGTTATATCAAATAACTAGCTGTTACTCCCTGAGTTGTTCATATTCACCTTGAATACGTTTCCTCACAATTAATTACAAACTTAGATCAGCATCTAATACAGTTTAACATTTCCTGGAAACAACAGGCACGACCCGAATGGCAAAGGGCCCTCTGGAAACCCTCACGGCAGGATCCACCAAAGAAATCCTGCAGATCCCTCCCTCCTCCTAGGACTTGTTTAACAAACATACCCCACTGCTTTAGGGAATTTACAGGAATCTCTTGGCTTCTGTTTGGCCATTCTTCCGTTGTTTAGGATAACTTATTTCCACATGCAGAAACTTTAAGGCCTCTACAGTTTAAGTTGTCTGGCAGTGCAGTTGAAAACAAAAACACGAACAGAAAAAAAACCCCAGTGATCTCTTGTTTGCCAGCTGGGTAATTTCTTCAGATGAAATGCTGTTGTGTTTAGTGGGAGGCAGTAGTCTATTTACATATTTCTAAGAAAACTCTTTCTTTTTTCCTGAACTCTGCAGAAATGCAGGAGCCTAATGCATAACTCAGAGCATATTGCTTCAGATGAATAATAGTTTGCAGGATATGGACATCAAGGAAGGCTGGCTTTCAATAACAGTTATACTGACAGGGCTCACATTAATCCATCAATATTAGTAGATTTGAACCACAAAGTACCCTAGGCATCCAGAAATATTTTTAAGCATTAAATTCATTGACTTCTGTTTGCTTTAGAGCCTAGTTTCAATCTAGATTGGAATAACAAATTCAGCACAGTAAAATCACGTTTCAAAGTCTATTTTCAAAGGAAAAACAAAATATCAGAATAAATTAACCTGTCCTTTTGCACATCTTGAAGATCAGTTTTAGGCAAAATTTAGAAGAATAGTTGGGGAATAAACAGAAGTTGGCAGTGACCCGTTTGGAATTTAGCTCTGTCCTCTCCTGTTAACTAAAATCCAGCAGTACAAAAGGCAAAACTGTGAAGAGCTGAAATACTAAAATTTCAGTAAAGTGCATGGGCCTGTGGCATACTCACGGCTTTGCTACGGCCTTAACTCAGATGCTGAACTGAAGGAGGGGGAAGCCAGGTTCTTTACTATTTTATTGAGGTTAGCAATCTTTTCTTCTAATAAATAGTTCTTCTTTTCTGCGGTTTTCTGCCGCTGTTCGGTCATCTCCAGCGCCTTCAGCAGTTGTGCGTTCTCAACATAGAGATCCTTGACCATTGCATCTGCTTTAGTGTTTTTGGAAAGCTAAATTGTGAATAAAACATAATTACTCAGAGATAAAAGGAAAAAAAAATAGTTCTGGGAAAAGCAGGTAACTTTACTGTAACAAATACCACAAGGGAGGCAGTAGTGGGAAATGCACATGGATTAATCCTGTCAATAATCTTTAGGAATCATTTCCTCTCCTTCCTAATCTAAGGACAGCTCTTTCCAGTTAAGATAATTGGCCCAAATTTAATGTTTTCTTCCTGACCTGAAGGATACCAGCATGGCAAACAAGC